CACCAGGGACGTCCGTCGCATAACGTGTGGGCATCTCTTCCTCGAACCTGTCTTGAGCAGCATTTGCCTGGACTGACGCGCAACAATTTCCTCCGCAAGCCATGACATCAGCCACACTGGCAAGTACAGAATTAGGAAAGGAATTATAGTAAGACTGAAACGAGGCTCTCAGATGCAGGTATCATGGCCCAGATTACTCCAGACCTCAGTCTTTAAATTCGCATCTGTGACTCGATAACATGTCCATGTGTCATCGCTTTTGTGCTCGGTGAAGCTTTTGTTAAAGATACAGCATTCTGATTGTTACACGCATACCTTGGTACAGCGAGTCTGGAAAAGCCCACATCCAATCACGTATCAAGTTTTGATAGCCTGCGTAGGATGGTTGGGCAGAATGTGGGGGAAATGCTGGTCTGTTGCGGTGATCGTACTTGCCTGATGCGGAAGGCTGTGTTCAACTGTGGATTGCGGGGGTCAACCTCGACGCCAGCGGAGTTCGCGACCGGCGCAGAACCCGTCACCAGCTGGTCTTCGGATTGGAACCACATCGATTCGGCGAACGAATTTATTAAAGGTCTTCGTCAGAAGTCTAATACGTAGTAGTAGTCCTTGATCGCACTCTTCATCTTACCATGCCTGCCGATTGTTGGAGCTGATGTGTTGCTAGGATGCGTCGCGGTTATCGATGCGCGAAATGCGACAAAGCCAGCAGCTGCTCAAGTCAGTGCCACACACGATTACTCACACTAATATATTGCGACACCTAGTTTTGCCTTTTGTGTCCTGTTCAAAAGCTTGTGTGCCGAAGTCCCAGTAAGAAGACACCTACACGCGGATGTTGCGTTGAATAGGGTCGTGATGGCCGTTATGGAGGGCGTCATCGATGTCATTAAAGCGTCATTGCTTCGATCGCTCCACAGCCTTACAACGGCTTTGCATATCAATACCGTTCGTAGTGACGACAACAGGCCATTCTTCCAAAAGGAGAATAAACGATGCGTCGTCCATATGAGTATGGCCTGTTCATAAGCTAGGCATACCTCACATAATTATCACGTCTACCCCAAAGCGCTCCTTCATAGATTCGAAAACACAAACCTCCCGCTTACACAATTCACTATGTCGACCGTTCAAAACAAAGCGCTTTTTTCGGAACACAAAGTCACTCCAGATGTGCTCTCCAGCGATGCTGACATTTCCTACGACCTGACTGTCTCATGGCCAGAGACACAGTTGGACCGACCTGCTCAGGAGCTAGACCGCGATCAGACTCAACCACAGCCAAAATTGAAGCTGAGTCCTGCGGTAGGACAGCAAACCTTTTCAGGGGTATCGATTGCTAACCCGATAATGTAGCCTTCTGAGCCATTGAACAATCTTGTGCTGATCATGACCGACCCCGTACGTTGGAGTGTACCCCGTCAGGAGCTATAGGCTTACGTGGATCGCAGGACCTCATGATGAATGACGACACATATTTTGGACAAGTTCGACACTGGCTCGTCAGCGACGTTTCCACAGGCGCGGATGGTTCCCTCAACATATCTCAAGGAACCGAGATCTCGCCATACCTGGGCCCAGCGCCGTTGCCAAACTACCTGTATTCTCGCCCGCATCGCTATGTTTTCATTGTAGCCAGCTCGTCTAGTAAGGTTGAAGTCACACCAGAGGACTTGCAGAGGCTGCAGAAGCAGTATGCGGCCGCAGTGGCCGGAAAGCAGGGTGAAGTCCAGGATCTGAAAGATCGATGGGGTTTTAACGCGCAGCAGCTGATTGAGAAGAAGGGACTCAAGGTTGAGGCAGTGAACTTTATGCGTGTGCATGGTACCTTGGGCAGTGCGGCTACGAACTCGATGTTGATGGGCCAGGCCGCGATCAATAAGGTAAGTGTCGAAGTTCGATCTGTTCTCACATACAGGCACTTGCTAATTCTAGTGCCTAGGTACTTGGAAAATAGGCTGTTCTCTCTCTAGATGCACCTTGATCATCACAGATGAAGCCAGTCCATAGCTCTCAGAGACAAGCTTGGTCAAGTACGAGTGGTGTCAGCCTTGTTAAGGGAAAGCTAGCATTTAACTACATTCAACCTCAATAAACTTACCTAATTGATAGAAACACATTTCACCCACCCCTACGAGTACTGTTACGTGAGCCATGGAAGAGAATGAGTCCGAAATAGCTTGGTTTCGGCACACAAGCAATAAGAGGACCTGGCTTGTCAGATACAACTGGTGCAGAGCACATATGGGATCTGCAGGTTCATGGTGACTTTTTACATCAACAGACGACGTATCTCAAGTTGGCGCAAGAGCACCTCGAGTCGGAAATCTTTGGACACATGATGCACTACACAGCATTTGTTTCGCTTGTTTCTAGACCTTGCAGGAGCTCTTACTTGTCCCCAACCCCGACATCATTTGTGATCGCATTTGGTTGATAATGTTATCATGGAGTCTCTTGTGTAGCCATGCATTTGAAGTCAGATATCGAGTGTTTCTCGTACTGTTCTGCCAAAGCGATGAAGACCTAAAGTTTTCAATCGCTGGTCTCAGTGCGGGATTTAAGTACTTCAAATAGAAGAGGCGGGTATTAGACAAATGTCCCTGACCTGAAAACCACCCTGACATGCTCCAAGGGACAGTCGCGCAGATAAGAGAATCGAACGCAGCTAGTCCATGGATGACGATTAGCGTACTTTTACAACATCGTGAACAGAGAACTATCGCCTTGTTTTCAACTCCACATCTTAGTGGATAAGGTACAAAGAACTTCACGTCGGTGGATCTTATCTCAATCCGGATACGGGTCAGGCTCCAGCGAAAAGCAGAAGGTGGCTATCAAGCAGTGACAAGCTCCACCAAGCTCATCCAAGCTCACCCAAGCCTTCAAATACACCTGCCTATTTTGGTATCGCTCACTGCACGTTGCCCCACATCCGAAGCCAGGACGAACATGACGTGAGCGAGTGCTGCGATTGCAACCTCTCGGAACACCGGTTCAGCTACAACTTTAAAAGCTGCATGTTGGCCTTCGTTCTTGCCATGTTCAAGACCACTTTCACCATGAGAGTCTTGTCGTTGCTTTCAACCTTGGTTGCGTTTGCGTCAGCTACGCCAGCCCCTGCTCAATGGCAAGCAAAGCGAGATGCTACGCCGGCTTATGCAGCCCATACCATTGACCAACCGGCACGCACTGTCACCTTCAGCATTTGTTGCAACCTTTCTAACCAATTTATAGATTGATCACTTTCAGAACTCCAGCCGCTATGAACCGCACACAAAAGATACGTTCAAGCAGCGGTACTTCTTCGACTCCTCGTACTACAAGCCTGGAGGACCGGTGTTTCTGTACATTGGTGGAGAGACGAGCGGCGAAAGTCGATTTTCGAACCTCCAGACTGGAAGTGAATGCACATTGTTCTTAAAAGGTTTCTGCACAAGACTAACTCATGTAGTTATCCAAATCCTAATGGAGAAGTTCAATGGCCTGGGAGTTATTCTTGAGAATCGATACTATGGAGAGAGCTATCCCTACAACACTAGTACCACGGACGAACTGAGGTTTCTCACTACCGAGCAAAGTAAGAGATGGCTCAGAATCATGTATGAGCTGTTCTAATGTGAGATAGCTATTGCCGACAATGCGTACTTCAGGGAACATGCTACTTTTCCTGGAGTCAACAGCAGCTTGAGTGGACCTGATGTCCCATGGATCATGTACGGCGGTTCTCTTGCTGGCGCGCACACTGCTTTTACAATGAAGACCTACAACTCGATCTTCGCAGGAGGCATTGGTAGCAGCGCCACCACGCAAGCCTTGCTTGAATACCCCCAATGGTATATCCCAATCATGAAGTATGGGCCTGCAGACTGTGTTTCCAGGATTGTCGATATTGTTGACAAGATCGACGCTCTCATCGAGTCTGGCAACAAGCAAGCGATCCAACAACTGAAGGACGTATTTGGACTTGGTTCGTTGCAGAGCTTGGGAGACTTCGCTATGACAATTGCTTTCCCCATCGGTGGCCCTATGAACTACCCGACGAACACCTGGCAGGAACTTAACTGGAACGAGACATATGGTTCTGATGACTTCTGGAACTTTTGCTCCAATGTCACAAACGTCGACCCTCCAAAGAACATCAGCAGCGTCGACACCGTGCTCTCCAACTACTCAAATGGGGAACCCTGGACCGGCCTAGGTGGCTACGCCGATTACGTGAAGAAAATTCTTCTTCCAACCTGCGAGAGCGGCCGAATCAATAGTACAGACAGTGGCTGCTTCGGCACACAGAACCAGACTTTCTATGCCGATCCCACAAACAGCGCTTCGCGGTCCTATCTCTACTCGACCTGTTCTGAATCAGGCGCATACCAAGTCGCCCCGAAGAACGGCCCTTCTCTTATCTCTCGTGCACTGCAGATCCCTTATACACAGCAGTGGTGCACCTGGGCGTTCCCAGCTGGTCAGCACAACAGCATCCCTAAGTCCCCTGAGCTGCACTACTACAACAAGTACGGCGGCTGGAACATCAAAGCGGAAAACCTCGCGCTCATCGATGGAAACACAGACGTCTGGCTGGACCTTTGCTACCACTCCGACCTTGCGCCGAAGCCGAGGATCAGCAGCGACAAGTACCCAAGCTACCTAATTGCCGGCGCCGGACACCATTGGGACAGTTACGGTATTAAAGACGTAAGCGCTGAGCCGGCCTACATTCGTGAGGCCCATTACTGGGAGATGAGGACTGTGAGCAGGTTCTTGGAGTTTTGGGCACAGAAGAAGCACTAAGATGTAACGAGCTTGTTGAGCTGAGATCGTGGTAGCAAGGGGTAATCTTGTAGGCTGTCCGTACAATTCCGAGTCTCTATCATGAACGATCATTATTGGGACATTTTTCAATTTGCTACATACTCCAAATATCTCTCATCACTCTCATAATAACCCAATCCGATATGGTCTAGGTAAGCTCAACCATCATCTCCAACACCACCACATTCACTAACATTCCCAGTGGCTAGGATTTGTCGCTCTCATCTGTTCACAGTAGTGCCGACAAGGCCCGGGTTCAATTCCCGGTGTCGGAAAGTCGTTTTTTTGTTGCTGATGATGTATCTGTCCAGCCCAAGAGAGGTTGGTTGCGGTGTGGGACTGGCGTACAATTTTAATTTTTTCGCGATGGGAACGGAAGCCCCACTTAAACAACACCCAAAATTGCTGCACCACAACGGTCATCCTGCACAGCCTGTAGAACACAAGCCTTGTGTTGCGGTTTTATAATGCTTAATGTGATATTGAATGTAATACAATTAGCTGTGGAACGAGTTCCCTTATGTACGATAGAGGTATATACTGAGAAAAGTAACAGTCCAAGCTATGAAAGCTCCCCACAATTCGACCGTCAGTCAAACAATCAGAAGCGCGCTTCTTCCTGTCTGTTCTTACCTTTCCAACCTTCGTTATCCTGCGTTGGGCTGACCTCATATACCTCTTCTTTCTCATCGCCCTTTCCGGTGAAGATGGAGGTGCTATTTCGCACGATACCCGAACTGCGACTGCTTGGATTCGCTTCGATATCGTCTTTTGCATCTGCATTGGCCTCTCGCCCTTGGAATAGGTCATCTGGGAATGGGAACAGGGTCCTGCGACGCGGTGGACTCTTCTCTTGAGCGGTCATCCATACCAGAGCAGTAATGTCCTTGCCCAGTGCTTCAATCACAGGGGTCACTATTGGTAGAGATAGGAAGAGCACAGCGTAGGATGTGACGCCGACGATCGCAACGTTTATGCCATACGTGAAGCCACGCTCCGCAAGGAAGACCATAAGCCAGCTGCCCCAGCTCCAAAACACCAGTCCGTGGAGGAGGTAGATGGTGAAGATGTGTGGGAAGAGAACGAGCAGAGGCGGTGTCGACAGAAGCCATTGAATGCATGTTGAGAGCTCAACGATGGCCTGCATACCACCTGCGAACAAAAGACCGTTCAGACGAGCTGAGTAGTAAGGAGGATACCCGGCATTGTCTGTATTACCAAGCGTCTCGCCAGTCGCTTCGTCAGGATGGATGTCATGCTCTGCAGTGGCAAAGTTGAGGTCGATCCAGTTTGGCAGCAGGTTGACCGCGAAACCTGCTGCGACGCATAACCAAGCCAAGGTAAGGAGCGGATAGTAATATCCTGGGCGGGCATATAGCCAAGGCTTATATTCGTAGGTGATATCGAGATCAGCAAGAAGCAGCCCAAGCCATAGGTACGTGCCCCACGATCGCGCGTACCAGTGGTTGAGCATGCAAAAGATGTAAAATGCCATGCGTTTCCGGGCATCTTTCATCTCTCGAACAACAATCACGCCGAGCAGGACAAGCCAAGAGCCTTGCAATTGAACTGCAATCGTCCACAGCACACCAGTGCAATAGTTGAAGGTAATCTGAGGTACGGCATTGGGAATCAAGAAGATCAGCTCTAGAATTTCCGAGATGTATTCGCCAAAGTTCTCGTAGCGAGTGACGTATGGCCAAGTTGACCATGTCAAGGACGGAATGTAACGGAGAAATTTGGTTGCGCCAACATCGATGAGAAAGTATTCCAAAAGAGCTATGGTGGCAACCGGAATCATGAGACGCGGTGTTCGACGCACAGCAGCTTTTGCGACGTCTTCGAGCTTTCCTTTCTTTAGATAGGGGGCGGTCAAGAACCGGACAGAGGTCGTGAAGAACACACCAAGCCACATTTGATTTAAGATGAAAGGAGCAACAATCTTTTGTGCCCAGTATTCAGACTTTGCGTGCTGAGGAGCACCTGGGATAACAATGGCTGGAACAAAGGTCAGACCGAAGTGCATGACAGTGACAACGATTGCACACAACGCTACGAGACCAGCAAGGTAGTCGATACGCTGTCGCGGCGGTGGGGGCTGTGCTCTCATACGAGGAGCTGGTAATGCTGATTCCGTGACTGTCTCCATTTGAATCTTATCGCTTGTCTGTTGTGAGCTATGAGGCATAGCGATTGTCAACTCAGAGCCAGTGTAATTCAGGTAGCCATGGTTTGTGGTTGGTGAAAACCTATCCCTAGAAGCGGAGGATAGGTTGCTCTGACTTAAAGGAGTCAGGCCATCTTTTGCAAGGTCGAATGAGCTGTTAAATGGGGACACTATCTGTGGCGTAGGAGCACCACTGTCAAAGCGAACGGAGTTTGCTCGCGACGGTCCGTAAGGTGTTCCCGCTCCAACCGTCGAGGTACCGGTGCTGGGTCCGATCGGTTCAATCGTAAGGTCATCCGACTCGCATTTGGAAGACGCTGGCCGGCTCGACACCTGCGACTTTCCGGTTGAGTGATCGCTGTAACTTGATTGGAAACCTGAAATCTGAGGAGATCCAGTCCCTGTATCCTGATCTGCCGCTGGTGGTTGCGCGATAGCTGGGACACTCCCGTGGCCTGACGTTTTGGGTTGCGTCAAGCGACGGACAAAAGTATGGATAAGGAGAATCGTAGAGAGTGCAAGACAACCGATAGAAACCCATAGTGCTGGCATGCGCTGGATGCTCTTATGTGGATTCTGTCGCCATTTTTCGATCGCCTCTTCGACAAAAGCTGTCGAACCACGGAGCGTGGTGTCGTCCATCAGACATGCGTCACTAATCGCACATCTGGCGGCAAAATCCTCGCGAGCCACTTCGTTTGTCAAGGATGAGTTGAAGAACATACGAGTCCACCCCACTTCAGCGACTGATGTTCGACCTGGCGGCCCTTTCATCGAATAACGGTTGCCAGTCGACCAGTGCTTAAGGTAGATAGGTGCGGGTACTGATGGAATAGCCTTGTTCTCCTTGTGTAGAATCTGTCTTGTGAGATTACCTCCAACGTAGAAGTTGATGTAGTCTTCAGTCCAATCAATGCGATACTCCGTGAAATCCCATGGATCGACACTGCCGTTACTGAGCCGACCTGATAGCGTCGTATAGTTTCGATCCGCCGCCGGTTGTTCTAGAAGTTGTGTATAGTTCACGCCAAGGTCGTAGGTTGTAAACTCGCCGGAGATAAAGGTGCCGATCCAAGCTTCGGAGGCCTTGTTCGTATTCATGACGCTGAGCTCTGCAACCTCGGTCTCGTTATATTGCCACATCATCGACATTGCAGAACCGGAAGATGTTCGTCGTGGTGACTTGATGAGAGTGCGGAAAGAACCATGTTGGATATCGCGCCTTGCGGTTCGAAGGCCGGCTCCTAGAACGATGTGGTCATCAGTTGGCGGCTGTACAAGAAACTTGAGAGATTCGTTTCCGAGTTGTAGATTCCCTGGATCTGCGCCTTGACGATAAATGGCGTTCCAGTCCTTCTCGTATTTGTTGTTGTACTGCTCGGCCACAAACTCAGAAGGTAGACTATCGGTCTCGTTGAAGTACACGATAATAGAGTCTGTAAAAAGCCCTCCAGTATTGCTGTCATAGAAGCCGCAAGTGCAGTTTCCCTTCTCATCCGAAAATTGACTTGATGCGGGCAGCGCGTACAAAAGGAACAGAGCAAGAGGAGCCAGGGTAAACATGGTGTTAAACGAATGTAGAAACGCAGAAAGCGTACAGGAGGGGGAACAGTTGAGCTCAGCAATGGTTCAGAGTGCCATGTACAGAGCCGATATGAGGGAAAAGGTAGGCAAAGGGACAACGGCAGTGGGAGTGGGTCAGCGACTCAGCGCAATGACGAAAGACTCGGTGTAGAAACAGCTTCACGGACTCAAGAGGAGCCGTGATCTTGGTATTGATTCTCGACGATCAACAATCTACCGCCAAACGAGGGTACTCCTATCGAAACAAGACACGGCCCCTGCAACGAGGTCAGAACCAGGGGTTAGAAGCACATACTGCAGGCTTCTTTCATCTTTCACTCGCCGAGGCGGTCGCTTAGACACTTTCTCGGTGGGTTCCACTCATTGTTCCACCGAGTAACGTAGTATCATCGCAAGTGGTAACTTACGTGGCCGGCAGGACTAGAAGCCAGCAAGGCAGGAAGTGGGATGGTGATTGTTGGGGCAGTGGGGCGAGACGACATTAGCGCCAGGTACTAGTGGAGGTTTCTTCCGAACAACACCCGCACAGACTTCTTTCCTACTGCATCATCGACCAATCTGTTGAGCCAGCCTTCTTGACCCTGCACCCTTCACATCTAGGTAGATTGATCAGTGATAACCAATGCCGCTAGGGTACTATATGCCTACCACCCGAGCGGTGTCCTTTCACACCACGCATCACGTCGCACCACAGCAGGGGTATGCGAACGCGGTACAACCTGCAGGTTTCTCGGGATGGTCTTGTCGTAAGATCTAGGGACACGGAACTCAGCTGTCTGTAGAGACGTAGATTTCAGGAACAACACACTGCAGCTGGTGAATCGGGACTACATCCGGTATCCCCCCACTGATACACCTCATCGACGACAAGGCCTTATATTGCCAAGCTCCACCAGCAGTGACGATCAGAATTGTGCTGAAGAAAATCTTGCATTCTCGCATCTGCAAGGTAGACAGGGATCTGTACTCCCATGTGCAAGAAGAGACCCACTTGCAATTCTACCTAGGTAGGTCTGCGGGAAATGCAATGTCAGTTGTAAAGGTGTTCGGCAACTCCACTTGGTTGCTACCTGCCAAAAGTATCTAGTCTTTCGCGCTTGATCATCCAAGTCTTCTTCTGTTAACGACAATCGTCATCACATTCGTTTCTCTCGATTGCCAGGCACATATTGTTCTGCACCAGCATCTGTATCCGTAGACGTGGCCGTCCTACTCTCACGACAGGTAACGATACAGCACAATACTCGCCACTCCTTTCAAATCCGCTCTTTATTCTCTTCAAAGGCTACACCCTCACATTTCGCTCAGAACCCGCCAAGAAACACAATGTCAGAGTCCAAGGATTTTGCCATTGAAATTGGTGAGCTCACGCCTGTCACCCCTACGGCGCAGCAAGTCCCGGAGAAGAAACGAACTTTGGGCGATGTTGTTGAGATGGTATCTTCATTCATATCAGAATGGACACCTTTCGGTCTCGTTGCATCCTATTTCGTGTTCTCGACTTGCATGTACATGTATTGCAGC